GCGGCCTTCGTTGATCAGTACCGGTATGTTCTAGATAACCAAAACCTACCCTTCCGCCTATCCCGGCCCAGATTCCTAAACTGGGAATACCCTTTCTTGAGAAGGTAGGGTGAGATTTCTCCTGTGTCTAAATAATAAACTAGAATTGGTCTATCATCTTTGTTTTCGCCTAGGATCATCCAAGAAGCTGTTGTTGTTGGAGCCTAAATTGAAGACTTTACGCATCCCCATCCAATCCCTCATCGCATATTGACTCTAGTCCTTGATTTTGAAGGCGTTAATAGAATAGAAGATAAAAGTAATTAGATGTTGAAAACCAGAGATAGATATCGACAAGTAAAAGAGGAATTGCGGCAGATGAATTGCTTGATTAACTATGGTGCCCGGGGGCATAGCTATACCCGAGTACCCCTATTGCTGCTGACCTCTTGACGCTAGTTCACTAGCTCAACCGCCAAGCATCGTGAACCTCCACGTTGCTAGTACTTTTATCAATAGAGGGATCCAGCAGTGAAACCTAATCCCTACGGAAAATGCCAAGCATGACAGGACGAGCATGATGTGAACTGCAGGAAGTTTTTGACTTCCAGCACTGAGACAGGATGCCCAAGATGACTCGAGGGCAAGTGGGCAATAGCCTCTGGCCTGGCCTAGCCTAAATTGTCATAGCATTCAAGCACTGTGTGAAGAAATAATAGTCACCATACTCATTGTGGTTTAGACTTTGCCTTGGCTACGCCATTTTCCGCAGGGATTGAGTTTCACTGCTGGATCCCTCTAATACAGTCTGATATCCACATATTCCAACATTAGAGGCTTTGTGAGGGGCCCTGTGCGAAACTGCCAAACGAACCATTTTTAAAGCTGCTTTTTCCCGAGTGCCGCCAATTCAATATTCCGCGATTTTCGAATGGACGGCGGGTTTTTAGCCGACCAGTATCATACAGTGTTGTATAGCCTTGGCCCCCCATAGCACAAGATAGCTCAACAGTCTGTGGACATAAGACACCCGCAACTCAGAATCTGGGGAAATGACTCTTGGTAGAGCTTTGGGTTGGAGATCTCGAGGGCCGGTACGTGTAGTTTCTCTTGCACTACATATATTACATCATAAGAAACTATGCTTGTGCTCTCTAACATCTTATAGCCTCAGACAAACCAAGGACTCTCTCTTTACCCGCCACTGCTTGTAATTTAACGACGTTTACGAATACGACCACTACTGCATGATACAGAGATCGAGGCACAAAAGCTGGATTTTCGCGGTAAGCAGTAGCAGTTGTGTTCACAAACGCCGTTCAATTACGAGTAAGTTATATGCAACGCTAGGGCAATCAAACGGGGAATCCTAGTTGGAAGTAGTGATTTCAGGTTGGCCTTGTTACAGTACCGACAGCCACTGCCGGTAAGCAAATAGAGACCGTTACCAAGACGGTAGCTCTCAAGCTTATGTGATACTATTGCGGTACAGTACAAGTACCGGCGCCACTTTCGCAGCTCGCCATGATCACCTGAACGATTTCTAAGCAATCAGAGGCAGAAATCAGGTTTGATTACTCCGTTCGCCCCGTTAACTTCGATGGCTTTCTCTTTTTTTCTCTTCTGCAGTTGATGAAGTACTAGTATAGCCCAACAACATTCAAAAACACCTCCCCCTTGGCAAAGGTCTCCATTGCGATCTCCAAGATACTTGAGAAACTAATGGTTAGCTTATTCCTCTAAACGTGGGTATATGTTGGTGGCTCCGCTAGCAGTGCGAAGGATGATTGTGAGGTCAAAGAAGTGGAAGAACCTTTGACTCTTGTTCCTACCAAGTAGACCAGTCCTGATATCAACCGCCTCTTTGGACTATAGCTCGGACGTTAGGTTTTAGGCTACAAGGCCCTGAAAATGCGGGGGACCGAATTTATTTTCTGAGTATTATAGTTAGAGGTTTCTATCTTTCCACCCGATCCTAAACTTCCAGGACCAGGGACATTAAGGTGTACGATATTTCTATCATTGATAAATCTTAAAAAAGTCGTCCGAGGGAAAGAAGAACCTGATGAAGAGAAATCCGGGACGACAGGGTGGGGCTGCAGGATATCCAAGTTATCGCATATAAGATGGGCTGGTTGCTTGCACTAGGAATACCTGGTCAAATCGGGAAGCATGAAAGCCAGTAGCCCGCATTTTTCTACCAAAGTGGGCTGTGGACCCAGAGATGCATCATACTTGATCATTCGGACCTTGAATCCAGAGTGGGCTGGACGATACCCATAGCGAAGCTAGCTTAGATGAAGAGTCGATTAGATTAGCTGCGCGACAAAGTGCAAAAGGTGGGGAAAGCATAGGTGAGGTGGATTTTTCTAAAAAAAAGTTGACGAGGTACCGTAGAAGGCTAGCCTCACCACAAGATCTTGGCGTCCTGGTCCGGGATGATGCAAGTACCGAGGGTAAACCAAACGCACGTTATCCTACCTCCGATTTTAAGAGATCCCGCGTGAGAGAACATCATATCATCGTCACCTCCAAGAACCCAATCAACCAAAAAGTAGAAAAAAGAAGCAGCCATACCCCTCACCAATAAACCATAGAATTGATAACATGTTCAATGATATACAAAGGATGATGTTGAAAATAATTGACAAGCCAGTCAACAATGGGGTGCCAAGTGTGATAATTTGTATGCCAGCAAAGTAACCTCCAAAATGACGTTTTTCGTTGATGTTGTAATCGAAGCCACCTTTCCTTCAGATGCACTATCACAAATACACTTATTAACCCCCTGGAAAACACAAGCTTCCGAGTAATTTATCTCCAAAGGCCTTTCCATTTAAACGATTTTTTTTTTTCATACTATTTGTTCACTTCTAGTTAACGGGGAGGGTAGAATTAGAAAACTCGAGGGGTCACGTGGAACAAACCCGCTCAAGCTGTCCTTACCACGTTCTGTACAAACGAAACACTCCCAGCAGCTCCCTCTTCTACACAGCCCCTAGGACCTCCTTTAACCCCCACACTTCCAATTCTCTCTATCACCCCCAGCCCCAGAAATATATCTACTCAATCTCTCATTCACTCGTTCGTTCGTTCCTCCGCCGGCTTATCCCCAGCCCTGTTCCCGATCCTCTAAAAATGCCCCTCAGAGCTTGGCTAAAATCCCAGAGCGCTCGCCGTCAAAAAAAACCCTACACCTCCTTCCGCACCGACGCCTCCCCACCCCCGCTCTCCAGGAAAAATGCCCCTCGCCTATTCACACCAGACTACTCCTCGCCTCCCAGCCCTCGCCCTCCGTCCCGCTCAGTGTCTCCACATACAACGTCGCATAGGACTCCCGAGGCTACTTGCTTTACACCCCCGAGGAAGACATCATCCATTCCTCCGCACACAACGTCCCCGTTGACACCGCCTGAGAGTATCCACAGTGAGGAACAGTCTTGGATAACTTATAGCGAGAGCTCCCTCAGAGGAAATAGAGGGCGCGATGTTCGGTTACCTCAGGATAGTGCTGGTATAGCTCCAGTAGCATTTGGTGACAGCACTCCGAAGCGAGGCAGGAGCCCGGGCAGAAGTAGAGGTAGAAATAGCGGAACCATGCCTACACCCCCTCAAACTCCAACTTCTTCCTCGTCTCTGTTTGGTAATGGTGAGGATGGTGACGACAACCAGGGCCCCCACGGTCACGACAACGACTACCGGTATGGCAATAGAGATGTACACGTCTACGCCCCCACCCCGCCAGACTCGGACGCCCTCTACCCCCTTGCTAGCCGCAAAGAAGAACTCGTTGAGCTGTTCACCCTGCATGGGCCGGTGTATGGGGAGGAGTGGAGGCTGCGCGGGGCATATGATAAGACCAAAAAGTCGAGAGAGCGCCCACCAACTGAAGACATTGGGCTGGTAAATGAAGAGCTCATGAACGGGTATGCGAGCGGAGATGAAGGCTATGATGAAATGTGGGCGCTCCTATTGGAGAGGGGTTGATAGATTTGATGCTGGCGGCCATTGGGGGTTGATATGTGTATTGATTGGTTGGGTGGGGTTAATTTATCCTAGCCCTCTTTTCTTTTGTTCTCTGTTTCCGCTCTTTTCTCCCTTTCCTTGAAAATTGTATGGAGTTATTTCTTGTTCTCTTGGGGATTTCATGGGTATGTTTTGTTGTTCATAGATTGTCACTCGGTTTTAATTTTCTGGCTTGTTGCTTCGGGCTGGGGTGTGGAACCGTAGAATGACAGTGGTGATGAGAGCGTATATAGATAAGCTAGGTAGCAAGATAAATGTTGAAGTCTAAGCTTTTTCCTTTTGAAATGCGAAGTTTGCTGTTCAGCGGAATCAGCAGGAGCGTTAACATATCGCCCACTTTGGATGGAGAACTAATTAGATCCCTACCGGTAACCTTGCACACTCCGGAACAATGACACCAGTCCAGTTTCAAAAACGCATGCTAAGAGCCGCATCAACTACCGTAAGAACTCGAATAAACAGTCCTTGCGCTAGGACATTGGAGTTGCCCCTCTTAGTAAGGTCTAGTGTTTTTTTTTTTTTTTTTTTTTTGGCCTCGGGGACAGATTTTTGGTGTTTTTTTTCGCCCCTTTTCCAGAGGGGGAGTTCTTACGGTGATATGGACAACACCTCGCTTCCTGGAGTGTACTAGTACAGGCAAGCAGGTGTGGGTATCTTGTGCTCTCTTCAAATTTACTGAAGAAAACAGTTTGCCATTGCACTAATTAGCCGCGAAAAACCTGGCCACACCAACAGCGATCCCAACCACACACCTTCCTAGTCGTAATCCTTGCAAAGCGCCACCCTAAATCTACTCTAAATCTACAATCCGCCCAAAAAAACATCCTAGAAGTATACTAGCTCTATCCGTATTCGCCTCGCTAATACAGCCCCGCCAACAGAAAACCTTAACGGCACGGCTAGCACTCTGACAACTAAAGGCTTTCTAATCTATATCGTTGTTAGATATATTTCGAATAAGGGGTGATTGTCTGGATTACTTGATCAAATATTATGTCAAGATGGTGGAGTGGTTAACACGTTCGCCTGCTAAGTCCTAGAAAGGTCTAAGTCAGCGGATGCCTTCGGGCGCGCAGGTTCGAATCCTGTTCTTGACGGAGTTTTTTTTTATTATTATTTATTTGCATTACCTGTTTTTTTTGTGGTGTTGGTAGTTGTGTTTTGGGGGAAAGGGCTTGAGGTCTTCGGTGGGTGGGGTTTTGTGGGGGTGAGTTTAGATATTCTGATGAGTGCGGTAGTGGACGGGGTGCTTTTGGGTTGATGGAGTAAGATGGGGTGGAATTGATTTACGTATAATTAATTAGCGGAGCAAGTGAGATACCGGTATAACGAAAGACTTTATAAAGTACTCGAGTAGCTGGAAATTAGACCGCCGGGCATTATTTCCACTAATGCTTTCACGCTACTAAAACTTGCGGGGGCTTATGCAGCACGCGGTGTTGTGCGCCCACCTCCTCTCCTATTTTGCTTCCCTTCGTACGCCCATCATTACTAATATAGATTCCATTAGAGTATCAGTGGCTATTACCGTGGACAGGTGAGCGGTGTCGGCAGTCTATCCTTCCTTTCATGGTATTAATGGAGGTGGATCTGACGGAGGCTAAATTGGATAATTGCATGAAAGTGGAGGGGGGGGGGGGGGGATGTTGGTGTGGTTTTTATATCTGGTTATTGGCTTGTTATGAGGGGGGTTATGAGGGGGGGAATATGGAGGAGCCTGAATTATTTTGTGGAGGGAACTAGCTTGAAGTGTGAGTATATCCCCGAGGGGTATCCGGGGGGAGTACTTCAGTTTGTATTGTCTTTGTTTGGTGGTACCGGTAATTTGAATAGATGTTGCCGTTTAAGTTAGATCTTTTCTAAACTTCTCTGACTATGGTGGCAGGTATCGTGCGGTGTTTGTGGTTTAGTTGAGGTGATGCATGCGGTATATCAGCTTAAAAAGGTTATCTCAGAAGCAGTGCTACTTGTCTTGACATAGTGAGTAACGCTGGGTAGAATAAACACGCTATCATAGGACATCTGGCGCTTCACTAACTCGCACTCGCACATGCTTTAACCAGTCAATTACCATGATAAAAAGAGGGGTTTGAATGTTGGAGCTTTGTAGAAATAGGTCACACCATAGCTATTAGTGATGCCGAAACTAATCCCGCGGTAGGAAACACCCATAATACTGCGGGAATGGGGCCCAGACTCCGCTGCAGTCGCGGTTACCTCGCCGGACCCATTTCCGCCTGCAATTTATAGCCAGCACTTCCATTCCCCTACACGACACAATAATGTCCACCCTTGATCTTAGCATTTCAATGAAGGGTATGATATTCTGCCATTGTTCCGCCAAGGGCCAAGCGACGCTGAAGGGTGTCATTCACGAGGTAGATGGGTGTTGATACAAAAGATCGTGAGTGTGTTTTCTAGCCTCCACACTCGGATATTACTCTCAAAGATGGCATTCCTGTATTGTAGAATCGCCACCTCCCACTTCCACAGATCTCAATTGATAACCCTCCACAGCTCTGCTGATTCGTCGAAACGTAAATAATTGGCACCACTGGCGTCGGAAACGACACAAGAACGCAGCCCAGACCTGCATACTGGTGATGTTCTTCGTTGGCGCATCCTTTGGAGCATCCCTAGCAATTGGCGCGTGGTTCTCCTTCCGCGTTTCTAGGGCCAGCCGTAGTGCTAATAGGCGCGGTGACGGTAACGATGAGGGAGGACGTTCGCATATCCGTTGCGGTGGCCTTGGTTATTGATGTGTTGACCTCGTGGGAGATTGCGTTTAACACTGGGCTCAATGATGTCTCTTCTTTTGTATTTCAACGGGTGTGAGTTTTGGTGAGCGTGACATGGTGGCCGGGGTGGAGGGAATATGGCTGATGTTAGTATTGCGAGAAGGGTGTTGGGTGGTCATGTTCCTGTTTGCGATATTAAGATTAGTAGCAGAGGTCCCTATCGTAGCGGATTCATAGTCTCAATTAGCATCGGCCCTGCTTTCCTCACAGCCTAAATCGTCGGCATGTTCTATACCAGCAGAAACGTCAACTTTGCAAGCTCGTTCGGACCCTCCGTAGCATCCCGCAGCTCCCATCACTACCACTGGAGTCAGTGGATCAGCATCATCCTAGGCGCACTTCTCGCTGGCGCTTTCAACACGTTCATTAGGATCCTCGGATATGAGACTGCGAACCCGGGAGGCGGTGGTGGGGAGGTGTATAAAGAAGTGGTGTGGAGAATGGCCTCAAGAAGGAGATTTCGCAGCAGATGGGGACTACCAGTAGATATAAAGCTAATGTGGCAGGGGCATCTCCTTTTATCGGTTTTCCAATTGGTCCGCTGCTCGTTGTCCTCGGCTACCTCGTGCTAGATAAGTCATGGTTCGAGGAGGTTCTAACTTTTTTCCGACGCTTCCGCTGCTGGGTCGTTGGTGATCCTGTCGTTAGGAAGGCTCTTGTCCTCAAGGGGGAAGTCTCTCACCTTGAGCATCACGTTTTCGTTCTCTTTCGCCAACTACATCTTATTATCTCCCGTGGGATTGAGAGTAAAGGAGGGCGCCCGCTTCACGCTCCAGACTCAGGATGCTCTGCTAGCCTTGCCTAGCGTGGTAAAACCCTGTTTTCCAAGGGATGAATTTTGAGTCGCTCGGATGGCTGGGGAGATTGCCGTCTAGTGGCGGTGTGTTGCTGTGTGTGGTCGCTACGGTAGTGCTTGATGAAAGGGAAACGGTTACAGGGTTTATATTACATCAGTCGTGCATCGTGGACTCGCGCACTATCCTCCAAAATCCAGTATGCTGTCTGATAGAGCCGCTGCCCTATGAAACACCAGAATTGCCAAAACCACAGCAATGAAAAAAACACTGCAGTGAGCTAACGCCGATGGGAGCAAAGGGTTAGTGCCCTACCCCCCGCCTAGCCACGACGAGTCATCCCTAGTAGGTCGGGTGGATGGAAAAAAGGGAAGAAAATAAAAGGGAGGCAAAAAAAGGAGCCCACGGATATCTCTACTGCGAGAAGGGGCTGCCGGATCTCGGCATTGTAGGGAGCTGGGTGTTGTTAGGCTACGTACTCGAGTAGAATTTCGTATCGCGGCGTACCGGTACTGCAACGCATCATCGAAGAGATCATCCTCACGTGAGCCAGATGTTGGGTGGTTGCCGCCTCCAAGATGCGGCTTATTTAAGGAACTCTACTCGCACGGATAGTCCCCTTATTAGTAAGCTAATTTGCCCGAGGTCACTAGTTATCCCTCGATACAACTGACTATCCACTTCGGCCCCGTTCTACCATTAGCCTTCTAGGGCAAACAAGGATGGTAACCAAACATGGATTCTAGGGCTCGCAAAAAGTTTATAGTCACGGTTCCGCGCAAGTCGCAACGCTAAGGTGAAAGACATCCTTGCGGCCTAGTTAGCTGACATGCTCATTCATATCTTGTGCGCATGTCTCGACGGACTAAGGGATCCCTTCGTCTGTCTATGCCCAGACTACCGCTAACCCGGCTCATTTTTTTTTACATGGCCAATAGCAGTGGGCTTCTCTCCAGGAGACAGGAGCCGGGTTTTATACAGAATTTCAGAACCTTTTAGCGTTGCACTATTAGGATTATCGGTAATATCTATGACAGGAAAGGAAACGGTATACAACACCACAAGATAAATTAAAATCGGAAGTACTCGTACTTGTACCGTAGTCAGGAGCAAATATACGCAGAAAACCTGGTGCCCATCATGGCCATGCTGAGCAGTACTCATTTGGCACTATTCTGAGCACTACACCACTTCTGAAGCACAAAGTTTTTCATATCACGATTACCCAAATAAGCTATCAGCAGTGATACCGGTACCACCCTTCATGCTTATTACATCATAGTTTTCACAATTATTCCTAACTTTGCTCATTTTAGTTACTTCACCATCGATCACTTCTACTACCAGCAGTGCCCGTACAAGGTACAGGCATAAAAAAGTGGTACGGCGCAGGGGTGGGGTAGGTTGATTCCGGAAAAAATTGAGGTACACCGCAACCAAGCCCCCTCACTCTCTCACAAAAAATATGTTGCAATCTAGCAGTAAAGTACCTCTTAAACTATCACCCTTTACCAGATGGTCTTCAATTTTCAAATGCTAAGTTTTTTCGCCATCACAAATAGATGAGAAAAAAAAATACAGAATAATATAGCAGATAGAGAAAATCTCAACCTGTAGATACCAGAAAGCATTGATTTTGAAAATAAGCCATCATACCTTCAAGTCTAGTTGAAATGAGGACACCATTAAATAGAATAACAGTTTAAAGATTTGGGCAACATCCCTAACAAGCACTTGTAATATTTGATTTGATGGAAAATGTGCTGGAAGAGAGGTTATCTACACCATCCACTAAGATTTTCCTTTATCAGTTGCATAGCATGGGAGGAATCATTTATTCTCTGAATGTTTTTTTCTCAAGTGTACCACTGCCACTGAAACATTAGTTAAGCAGCGTACCACTATTTTAACCCTGTACCTTGTACTCAGCGTGAGGTCCTGAATACAGACAAAGGGATAGACAGTACTCGAGTACGGTAGCCAAGCAGGGCTTGACCGGTTGGAGGTGTCTGGTGTTACCTAGCGTGCGGTCTAGAGTCTGGTGGAATTTGCAAGCTCACCTCCGAGGCAACATCACGTTTTGGTCGTCTAGCAACAAGAATTTATTATGACGGTATAAAATGGAAAACACTTTTGCACCGTCTATCGGAAAATTATGACGATTGAGACGCCACCGTCTAGCTTTATCACCCAAATTTAGAACTAGGCGGTTAGGTAAACTGGTTGTTGGTGAAAACTAGGCGTCGGCCTGTCCCATTGGCTAGGTACTGAAGTTGTATTTCTTTTGGTAGGTTAATACGGTACTAGAGAAGGCACGACTAGAATCCGATGGCTGTAACAGCTTACCCACGACTAGGATAGTTTCCTGATTGTGAAGGAATGTTCGGTGCCTTGTGGTGCCTAAATCGGCGGGTTATCCAAATACCGTAAACGCTGCAAGGTGACCCGAATACTGAGCCTACCCGACAGATTATTAGACTAGATTTCATTGAGAACTTGAAGCAT